CAGATTACTGAGTCACATTTAGACAACTCTCTACCATTTTTCCATATTCAGGTGCTTGCATCTGACATTTCATCTCTATCTACCAGTTATAAGTCAAACAGCCACCCAATCACCCAACCAGATTCCTCTTGGTTCCCATGCTGTCCAGAGACTTGTCTGGGTTTGCCCTGCCTTGATCCAATTTAATTTGATGGACTAACATTTATTAGCATCAAGCCTGTTTTGTGTGCCAGCCACTAGTCATTACATCAGCCTCAGAACAACAGGAGGTTGGTCATGTCAACATTTCTACTTAACAGAAGAAACTGAGATTGAGAGTGACTAAGTGACTTACTCAATCTAGAAAGTTTGAGAACTGAAATTAGAATATATGTTAGTCTGACCCCACAATCAGAGTTTTAGCTATTTCACCAAACTGCCTCCCAAACACTGTCCCATCTTCCCCTCTTACTGACTCATACCTCTGCTGCCATGTCCCCATTTTCTCTCCCCTGCCCTAAGTCAGACCTTATACAACTCATGCAGAAATGTTGGTGGGTTCTCTATTTGGTCTTCTCCCCGGGGCCCTCAGGAGCGTGTCCTGTCAGAGACGTGGCACAGGCTGGTGGAAAAGAGCTGGGCTCTGGCACCAGACAGACCCAACTCAATGCCAGTGCCTTTACCCCTCTGCTTCTGTGATCATGGATTAACTCAATGTCTGTGAGTCTAAATTTCCTCATTTGAAAAATGAAAGTTATGATAGCATCTGTATCAAAATGGGGTTTTGTGGGGAGCAGTTTGGTGTTTAATGCGATAATGTTGGTCAAGTCCCTGACACAGTGTCTGGCACATAGTATCAAGTCAGTATGTAGCTGCTGTCTTGTCGTTCTTCTCAGGAGGAAACTCCCAGGATGTTTCCCCCATTTGCCAATGCCATTTACCACAATGGACACTCAGCACCCTCCAGCACCTGGCCCTGACACTCTTTTTTTATCTTATTTATTTGCCTTCTAACTCTCCACTCACCCACTGATCTTCTCTGGTTCTGGACCTCTCAGTAGGATATAGGGAAAAGAGAGTGTCTTCTGGGATGAGGCAGATCTCGATTTGAACCCAAGCTTTTCCCGTCACTAGTTCTATGAGCTTAAGTAGGTTCCTTAATATCTCTGGGCCTCAGTGTTCTTATCTAGAAGATGAGAGTGAGGTTGTAGTGAGGCTTAGACCTAGGAGAGCATTTTACCTAACACTTAATAAGTATTTAATCCTCTTGTCTATTTTTCAATAGAATCCTTTTCCTACTGCAGGATCTTCCCATGGGAAATTTTCCCAGCTCCACCACCTCCTTCCAGATTCCTCTGGTGGATTCCCATAGGGTTTTCTGTCTGTAATCATTCAGAGACTTCTGTTTTGTACAGTCCTTTAAAGTTTTTATAGCTATTTCCAAAACCAGTCCAATTATTTTATACCACTCTGAGAGACAGTCAAGCCCAGTAATTATTCACCCTTTTTCCAGTACATGATGGTGGTTGCAGAATGACCACAGAGATGCCAATTGCAGAATAAAGCATATAGTCAATAATGTCAAGATAACTGGGTATGGGGGCAGGTGGGTGCTTGGGGCAATGCGGGAGGCCACTCTAAAGAGTGTATGGTTTTCTGGCCACTTTGCTATTGTACATCTGAAACTGGTGTGGAATGGTTGAATATAAACTGGTTGAAAAATAATTTTTTTAAGAAAAGGTAAGTGGAGGCTCTGAGAGATTGAATGACTGTTTCATAGTCACAAGTAGAGGCCTGGAGCTCAGATCTTCTGGCTCTCGGTCATCATGCTTTTCTCCCCTGTATCATTCTGCACTTGAATGACTGCTCCTCACTTGAAATCATCTCCCTGTCTAATGTTGCAAATTGTTTTTCCACGGTGCCTGTCTTGTCCCACCAGGGAGAGTATAGTCTGGTCCCTCACACTAGCTTAGTGCCCTGAAGATATCTGTTATGTGGTTCATGATATTCAATATGTTGATATGTGAATTAATGTGGCATGTTGCAAGACCACTGTAGAAAACTTACAACTGTATTGACTGGAGGATTGAACTGGTACAATGACATTTATTCAAGGGTAAGAAACCACAAAGGCATTCCACTCTTGAGGCACTGGCTTCTCTGCAGTTGTGCCTTTAGACTGGATGCTTGGATGTTAGGGGAATTTGGAGTTAGCTGCTCCATCCCCTGTGCTCTGTGTTCTTTATTCTGTAATAACCCTGACCATGCTTAATTGTAAGTAATCTGCTTATGCATCTGTTTCCCCACCCCTAGACTATGAGTCCCTCCAGAGCAAGCACCATACTAATTCCTGTCGGTGTCCAGGGCCAGCCACTGCACTTGGCACATACTTAATGGATGTTGAATGAATAAACCAAAAAGGCCCATCTGGGCCCATCTCCTAATCCCCCTATGATTGTGCTTGTTCTTATTCTGTTGTCCTGTTCCACATTGTCTATTTCTTATCTCCTGTACTGAATTAAAGGCAGGTTTCATATTTTACTCCTTTTTATAGTCTCCCTAACAACTAGGAAAGGAGGAAACTATAATTATTGAGTGTCAATTGTGTTGCCAGTAGTGATTGCACACATATTATCTCATTTTTTTCAATTAAATTTAATTCTTATAATAGGCTGATAAGGTAGGCATTATCATTTTTGAATTACAAAGGAGGGAGCTGAGACTTAGGGAGATAAAGTAATTGGAATTTAACCGAGTTTACAAAGCTAGGAAAAGACATGGCAGGATTTGAATGCCTGTCACTGGCTCTAAGATCAATGCCTTTCTTTTTTATTGTTGGTTGGTGTTTGTTCTTAAAGTGCAAGATAGCTGAGTGTGTCAGTGTTAGCTCAGTAGGTGTCAGGAATTCTGCTGAACTGAGACTTGAGTTTAATCATGTTGAATCCAACCTGTACAAGCCTGCTCCCAAATGCTCCGAGCACATATACTACTACCTTTCTATTGGATTGTTTAGATGACATGCTTTAGGAAACGTACTAAGCACTCACGATGCATCAGGTACAGTGCTAGGTACTGGGAATACGGTGCTGCATACAGGCTCCATCAGGGAGCTTACAGTCTAGTGAGAAAACAGACATGTAGCAGTGCTTATAAAAGCGATCTGTGCTGTGAGGTGAGAAGACCAAAGACACAGGTTTAAGTCAGTCTAAGGAGGCCTTAGGAGGCTTCTGGGTAAATCATGAAAGAGGAATGAGTTGGCCAAGCCAAGAGTAAGGAAACACAGAGGGAACAGCATGTGCTAAGCCACTCAGGTACAAAATTGCAGGTAGGATGGGTTCTAGAACAAGGGGGAATTCTGGTTGAACACAGCGAGTGGACCAAGAGATGCTGAAACTTGTCTCCCTGAGTTCACATCATGAACCTAAGGTCAGCATTTAGTTCCTAGCTCTTGCTTACACAAGCGGTGCTTTTGGCTGAGATGACAGCTAGGAAGTGAATTGGAGAAGTAGTTGGCAGCATCTCCATTGGTCTTCTCTAGGGACATGATAGATAAACACAAGTCTGCATTTCCCAGATGTGTGGGAAATAATGAACAAGCAGTTGGGCAGACCTACATGGTGATATCATCTGCCTGGGGTGGGAAAGGCTGCCCTCAGCAGGCCAGGAGGCTGGCTTGGTGCCCATGCTCTTAATGTGCCCCTGGGAGCAGGGGCCATGGGGTAGCAGGTGGCAGATGTAAACAGGACCAGGCCCTGTTGAGTATTATTTTCTTAAGTGGTGGGGTAGAGTGGAGAGTTCTGCCCACTCTGGGCCACAGGGTGGTGAACTGCAAATGTCAGTTGAATCCACCCAGTTCAAGTTTTCCTCTTTGCTATGCTTGAAAATGTTCTTTAAGTTGAGACATTATAAACCTAACCTCAGTTGGAGAACTGAGCCAATCTTATGATGAATTGTATGTCACTTAGTAAGAAATGTGTGAATAACCTTAAAGACACAAAACAAACTCAGTGTCACACTGGTGTTGATTCTGTTCCCCTCCTTCCTCCCCCTAGGACTTTAAAAAATCTTCAGGATAAGATTTATCTTGGTCCCACTCAGACCTTATTCCATTCTCTTCTCATGTCAACCATTAGTGCCCACCTATATCCCACAGCAGTCATCAGCCTGCATGGTCCTCACCAAACCACAGTGGACTGGCCACTTCCTCATATCCCAGGTGCCTTCCCATCCTCTAACATGGTTAGCCTGCCTGCCCTCCCCCCCATCCTGGAAGGTACTTAAAAGCCAGCTAAAGACAACAATTCTTATTCCCCAGAATTGCTAAGCCTATATCACACTCAATTCCTTGACCTTTTGCTCCTTGCTGACCTCCCCAGCTCTGTGCTCCAATTTTGCTCCCTCTAATGCATTCTTTACACTACTGCCTGGATGATTTATCTGCAATTCAAATGTGATCATATCAGTCCCCCACTCAGAACGCTTTAGTGGTATCAGACCCTTTCAAGTGACATGCAAACTCCTGAAGTATTGAGAACAAGGCCATCCATGAGCAGGCTTCTTCCTACCTCCCCGGCATCATTTCCTGTCTCTTCCCTTGACAGTCTGTGACACAGTAATGCCAAATTACTTATGGTTCCCCAAACACACAATCTTATTTTATGTTTCTTCATCTGCCAGAAATAACCTGTTCTCTCTATTCTGTCTTAACAAATCTGATCAGTCTTTAAAATCCTCTCAGCTATCCCCTTCTTGGAAAACCCTCCCAAGCGGAAGCCATCATTCTGGGCTGCCTCTGTGTCTTGTTCAGGCCTTTACTGTTGCTGTGTCTGCATATTCCCAAGACTTACTTGTTTATAGGGGCTGTTTTGTTCATTACTGCATAGCCCAGGACCTAACACTGAGCAGGTGCATAGCCAGATCTGGTTGAATTGCTGTCCAATTACACCTCTTTCCCATCATTTAAAGGATTTGAGTTTTAGCCACAGCCACACTGATACCTGTATCCTCATTGGCTTTCCTAGGTCGGGCCAATCACTGGTCTGCAATCATTGGTGGATCCCACTCTAAGAATTATGTGCTGTGGGAGTATGGAGGATATGCAAGTGAAGGTGTCAAACAAGTTGCAGAATTGGGCTCACCAGTAAAAATGGAGGAAGAAATTCGACAACAGGTAAGAAAAACAATCACAGAATAATCCCAAACCAGAAATGCAATCAGAGTGTTCTTTAGATTTCATTCCCAGGAGCTTGAAATTTATAGTACAATACACTGGAAAATTGGTACCATAGGAAGCAAAATCTATTTGCTGAGTCTAGAAGGTTTAAATTAGGTTGAGGACAGAGGCACCAATGTCCATCTTATTGTCATTCCTTGATTGCATTTGTGTTTTCTTTAGTCTGTGCTAAAAGCTGCTGCTGTGGCCACATTGTTGGGACTCCACATCTCTGGTTTTCTGAGAGTGAATTTGATAGATTGTGGTTTGCTTACTGTGATTTTTAAGAGGGTAGAGGAGTGACATCCAAGTTGTCTAAGCCAAAATTGCCATTTCCAGAAATAAACATTTGTATATCAACACATGCTCTTGCAACTATATCTTGAGGTGTCTAACAAATTAGTTAGTCATTAGTTATAATCATTAGAGACTAAAGCATATTTTAGTAACTGTGTGCTATATTATGTGGGCCCATGAGCCATACAATTACCTGGGTACCCACTCATACCACTGAGAGACAGAGGAGAAATAGCCTGTTGCTCTGATGGGGGATTTGGGGAGAAGAACTGCAGTGTTTCTATGGCCATCCACAGGCTGCCCATGGAGAGGAGACGGTCCAGCCTTGGTCATCACTACCCACAAAAACCCTTTGGGCCAGAGAGAACTCAGTGGGCAGCCACGTCTCACTGACCACAAGCACTCAAGATAAAATAAAGAAAGAGCAAACTGTTCTTGGAATGTAGTCATTTCACAACACAGGTCACTATGAGCCTGCTCCATGTCTCCTGAGACACTGGGCTCATGTCACATGAAGAGCATATGCCCAGAGACCTGAGCCTCACAGGAGGGTAAGCACAGGTGACAGAGGTGCTTCCCCTGAAGTTAAACATCTGGCCTCCCAGCCCCCACAAACCCTAAATTGAATGCAACAAAGGTCACCCTGACTCCTACTATAATCCCCTGAGGAATCCTTTTGTACCAAAGTCTAAAAATGCCCAGGAATTAGCTCATGTTTCTTATTAATTTGATTTAAAGTCTTTTCTCCATTCTTGGAAGAAAACATGTTTAACCAGATGTTTAGGACTGCATGTTGTTCATCACAAGGCTATCTGACCAGTTACATAGGGTTTCTCTGATTCTGGCTGTCATGCCTCACTCAGAACTGGCATCATTCATTCAGGCTACAGCACAGCCACGTACACCTGCAAAGTCATGGAGGGTCCATGTTGGTCCTGGTCTCTGACTTATCATGGGGGGTGTGGGGAAATCCCTTGTTTGGGTTCCTGGTGGTCCTTATTTCTAGTTCTCGAGCATGGAATTGTGATACGCTGCCTTGTCTAGTTATGTTGTGTGAAATGGTGAAAACCTTTTTGTTACAAATAATGATTGAAATGCTAAAGTTTGCAAATAATTTAGATCAAGAGCAAGGGCATCTTCATAATCATGCCAGTCTCACTTGTTGGCTATATTGAGAGGTTTCTGGAAAAGAAGGAAGCATGTATGAATTGTGAGAAACTAAGACCCTGTTGTGCTGGTGAACATTGTCTGCCATGTGTCATAACAATAAAAGGTTGATACCTGATGTATGGGACCCTCAGCCTTAGAATGTCCTCCTTAGGAAAACATTCTTTGTTTGGTATGTTCTTAACCAGCCCACCTGGGATTAGCTTTTGTACCACACAGGCAATGTCTGCTTGTCCCAAGTGGCTAGAGTTCCTAACATTAAGTTATAGTGATAGTTTAATTATGGATACTGCCAACGGAGTCAAAAATCCCTGTGAGCATGTCTCAGGGTCTGTCACTGCCTTTCAGCCCCCTGGGTACTGGACATGTACTTTTAGCTCTCCCATCTAGTTTGAGAAGACAATATATTATCAGTTTTACAGATAAGGAAACTGAGGCAGTCAATAGCTAGAGAATAACAGAACTTGAACCCAAGTCTGTGTGGCTCTGAACCCTGTATATAGTACTAGATAGGAAATTTGCAAGGTCTTATGTAAATGTCAGTTGCCTTGTTCAAAACTTGTTAAGAATTTCAAGGTGGTGATGCTGTGAATTCCACAGCATGGAGCCCTGGGAGTCTGCAGGTCGCATACTCGTGAAGCGGACCCTGCCCTCCCACTTTTCCTGCCCCCCCCAAAACTGCCCAACAGACAAACTCCTCTCATTAGGCTTGGAAATAAGCCCTGTTTCCAGAGCTCCACAAACAACACATTGAACTCCCCAGCTCCTTGGAAAATCGGTTGGGTAGAGTGATGTTGGGGCCCCTTCACTTCCAAACAATTCATGGTTATAACACCCAATTTATTATATTTTTATGTAAGTCAGGTAAGAAACAACATAAAAAGGAGCAGGAATGTGAATCATCCTAGAATATTAAAGTGTCCTCTGAATAAATGGGAGCTTGTTTGAACACATCTACAAACTAACACAGTGTTCTCAGCCTTTAATACTTTATATCCTACCAATCACTCTATCAAAGAACCTGAGTCTAACCAGGATGAAAATAAAAAGCCCTCTATTCCCAAGGAAGACATTTATATGCTCACCAGCATTTTCTTATTACAGACTTATCACTCACTGAAAGTTTCAAGGGCATTAAAAATCACAGTAGATACTGTTGGAGGTAAATCTTATGCTGATGGCTTTCAAACAAATAAACAAAGTAATAATCCCATTAGTAGTGGAAAATTATAATAATATCCTTGGGTATAAATTTTAATGTTAATATAATTACAAAACAACGAGAAAATTAATGAAAAATTACAGGAGCATTACAGGCAATAATGACACTGGTGGCTGGAGAGAGTAGGGGAAGAGTACACTGAGCACTTCTTAGCAGGGAGACAGAGGCACATGTGCTCTGGTGTGGATTGTGGATTAGCCTGGCAGGTCACAAAGGGGTAACTCGAGGCAGGTGGAGACAGTAGGAAATGGTAGATGACACTTGGAGGTACACCAAGGAACAGAAAGAGAACTCTTGCGCATTCATTGTTATGAAATGGTTGCACTAAGACCATTTCTGCTTCATCGAGTACACATTTATGGCATGTGTACTGGGTGTCTGGTTTTCTGCTATCTTCTGGCCCAGAGGTGGCACCCCATTCACCATCTTATTCTCACTAGAAACCTAGGCATCATTCTTGATTCTACCCCCTACCCTAACTTCTGCTTTCTCTTTCAAATTCATCCAGTTAACTCCCTCCTCAGCACTGCCCAGTCCAAACCATCCTCATCTCTTGCCTAAATTGTTGCACTAGCCTCCTGGTCCCCACGCCCCCCATCCTCTGCCTGTCATTCACATGGCTCCAGGGCCACTTTGTGAACATGAATCAGGTCATGCCACACCCCCAATTAAGTATATTAATTTACTTATTCAATAAGTATATTAAACACCTACTCAATGCCAGTCATTAGAGATGATGTGATCAGCTCATTTCCTGCCTTCATGGAGTTTACATTTGAACAAGGGAAACAAAGAAAACAATTAAATAATTATAAGTGAAAAGAAACAGGGGGTGACATAGAGAATTGTGGTAGAGAGGGACCTTTTGAATAAGGTGGTCAGGAAAAGTCTTCCCAAGGAGTGACCATTAAGCTGAGACCCTGAAGAAAAGCATAAGGGAAAAAAAACATTCTAGATGGTGGCAACAGCATGTGCAAAGACCCTGAAGTGGAAGCGAGATCATTGTGCTTGAAGAACTAAGAGAAGACTGGTGTGGCAAGAGGAGAGAGTGAGGAGCAGTGTGGCACATGAGACCAGAGAACTGAATGCAGGATTACTTTATCGCCATGCTGCAGATACTCACAGATTGGGTGGAGAGGCAGGTAGTTACTTAGGTAACTATTTAGAAATTATAAAGTTCCTTTAAGGGCATGTCTGCATCAGCTGGGGAAATGCAGACAATGGAAGGTGACAGTTCTTGAATGTGCCATTTTCTGGATCATCCTATGTTCTACTGCTGTTTCCTTCCCTCTCACAAGCAGGCTAGGTGTCCCTTGAAGGCAGGCACACACTTGTGGGCCTTCCTCACTGCCTCTGTTCATACTCATTCTGCTGTTTCAGTATGGTTACTTTTACCTCTTCGATCTTAATCATGTTTAATTGCTTCCTTCAGATTATTCTATTATCTCAGGGTCTTAAGGATTAATATTCCTTTGAATTGAACTTGCTTTCTCTCTCTCCCCATCACTAGTTTTCTCACTGGTTTTGGACTGTTTGCTCATCTCTAGTGGTGTTTTTCTTTTTTTTTTTTTTTTTTCCAGTTGGAGCCTTTGCTCAAGTTGTGGTGTCTCCTTGGGGTGACATTGTATCTTTGTCTTATCCACCTGAGTTTTTGTGTCATCTGTCAGTTTGGAATTCCCCACTGCATGGCCAGTATGGCCATGAACTCTGTTTATACATGGGAGAGTCTAGGGCTTCCATTTCTTGAAGGTAAATTTTACTGAAAGTCCTGGACAGAGGTCACGCTTTGTTGCCACCTTCCCAGGTGACGGATGGAGAGTTTTCTCATGCTCTGTTCATAAACAGGGCAGCCAACAAGTGAGCAGCTTGATGCAGAGATGTCTTGCGACATCTTACCTCCCGCCAGCTCAAGACCTCTTCCTCTCTCCCCTCATGGCTTACAAACCTCTACTTCTAGGCTCTGTGGCCCATGTGCTCATCCACAGCCCACACAGGTCACCATGTAATGCCTCCTGCTCATTGGCCTGGGTCAGATTTTTCTTCCCATTTCAGGCATCTAGGAATTTTCTAAACTCAGGTATCATTAAAAATGTGCTGTTACAGTTTGTCTAGCATTTCTATGTTTGTAGCAAGAGGAAGAACCTTCTGCCTCAGCCCAGTCTTTTCATGTTTTCAGATGCCCACTCAATATCTGCAGCACCTAATACAGTGTTTCATACAGAGTCAGACCCAACAAATATCTGAATTGGTTAATTAACAAGCAAGCCACAGA